CCACAATGATAGGTTTTGGTTCTCGACTTTTCTGCTAAAAACTTCCACTACATCATTTGTGGCATTAGAGAACAGTTTGTGCAAACAAGTGACTACAAATGCATGTACAGGCCAACACCCCTTTTTGGTCCTGTTCACTCTGTCACATCTGTATAGGTGTAACCTTGGGATCCCATATTTTCGTTGTTAAGTGATCCTTTATGTGGTGTCCTCAGTGACAACCGAATTTGCCTTTGCTCTCTGCAAGCAGTCAGGTGAAAGGTATTTAGTTGTTTGTTGATCGGCTTAGACCTGTATTTTTGCAAAGAGAATTTTATCGGACTGGCTTGGTATGTGGTATGGGGGTGATTTTTTTTTCCGGCATTAGTATCTGTTAATTTGAATTTGGAGTGAGAGGCCATCGTACTGGGGTTCCACTCAGAATGACTGGATTTTGTGTTACAAATTTCTTGCCATTTCCTGCCAGTTTTGTTTTCCTTCCTGCATAAAAAACCTCTCCCTCTTGAGTGGTGGTGGCTACCAGGTTTTCCCATGGCCGATGGTTTTGTATCTTGTGTCCCCTATTGATGGTGTGCTCCGGCAATTTAAGTTATGCACAGGTCTTTTCCTGTACCATTTCGTAAAAAGCTACAGAATTTGGCATTGGTTCTGTGCATAGGGACAAGGCTTTCTAGCAGTGTCAGTGCACGCCCATCTTGTTTCCATGTTCCTCTGTACTCGTGCATAGTAGTGACACTGGTTTCCATTTGTTGGGTTTCGTTGCTAGTATTCCTGTGGGCTCATGATTACCGCGACATTCCTTTTCCCTACCCCAACTCACGATGAAGGTATTTGTTCCAGTTGTTGTTGGTTTAACCTGATATTTGCAAAGAGAGTTTCTTGACTGTATTTCTGTTTGTATCTGTGCATGATTTTATCTTTCTTCGCTAACTGTTCCCTAGCTCTGTCCCCTATGGAGGGTCTATATGTTCTTCCTGCGTAAATTCCGACTATGGAAAAATTCAATGTTTGCCATTCTGCCTCCCAGCGACTGTTCTTCTTCCTGCCCAGAAGATCTAACTTCACCTTTGCTAGGCAGCTCTCCAGTTTCCCACTATTTTGTCTCTTGATCCCCTTGAGGTTCCTCATATTATAGCCTCTCCTGACGATCCAATTCGGTAAAGCTTACGTCAAGGATTGCATTCCAGCTTCACCATTCTGTCTCCAGGACAGGCATCTCCACTTTCACCATACTGTCTCCAGGACGGCAGCTACCAGTACATGAGACAGCCTAGTTTCACCATTTCTGTCTCCCGGACAGATCCTCCAGCTTCACCATTTACTGTCTCTCCTAGGAAGCACCTCCAGCTTCACCATTTCTGTTCCTCCCAGGAGCACCTCTAGCTTCATCCATTTCTGTTTCCCAGGACAGTTACCTCCACTTCACATTACTGTTTCCCCGGACAGCACTTCCTGCCCCACTTTACTGACTACCAGGACATCACCTTCCAGCTACAGTTTCTGACTACATGGCAAGCATCTCAAGGGCATACCATTCAGCCCAGGACATTTCTATGTTCACCATCTGTTGAGAAAGCTTCCAGGTTGTCTATGAAAGCACTTTGATGTTATCCTCTTTAATACCCTTGTGATTTTAGTCCACAGATTTATTCCCTTTGGCATACCAAAACACTCCCTTTTACCATACATCTGTGAGCACTAAGTTCTTGATATCTGCACAAGGCCGTGACAACCCATTTCACAAAAATGCAATTTATCATAGGGAGACCGTTTAGTTTGATTTATTCAGATACACACAGCTTCATAATGAATTGATGGTTGATCTACTGTAATTCTACTAGCAACTCTTAATACTCTATAATAACCTCTTGTAGATTTTAGTACGATTTTTCTCTTATAGGCATACCCATAAATTCCCTGATTTTTTAATTATTGTTTGCTGTTTTATATGTCAAGGCTGCGGCTTACAGTGACATTTCATGTGGAACCCGTGTTAGTTTGTTTTGCAGACTCACAGGTTCCTTATTGGTGTTGTATATGGGAGTTGATTTCAGTCTACTGCAGCTGTTACAGTTTCAGTCACTGCTTATAGCTACAGTGTTTCATTCACTGCTGCTGTACAGTGTTCAGTCATGCTGCTGGTACAGTGTTTATTATGCTGTGTTGTAAGTGTTCAGCACTGCTGGCTGGTACAGTGTTTCAGTCACTGCTGGCTTTTACAGTGTTCAGTCACTGCTGGCTGGTACAGTGTTCATGTCACTGCTGGCTGGTACAGTGTTCAGCACTGCTGGCTGGTACAGTGTTCAGTCACTGCTGGCTGGTACAGTGTTTCATGTCACTGCTGGCTGGTACGTGTTCATTCACTGCTGGCTGGTACAGTGTTCAGCACTGCTGGCTGGTACATGTTCATGTCACTGCTGGTGGTACAGTGTTCAGCACTGCTGGCTGGTACAGTGTTCAGTCACTGCTGGCTGGTACAGTGTTCAGTCACTGCTGGCTGGTACAGTGTTCAGTCACTGCTGGCTGGTACAGTGTTCAGTCACTGCTGGCTGGTACAGTGTTCATTCACTGCTGGCTGGTACAGTGTTCAGTCACTGCTGGCTGGTACAGTGTTCAGTCACTGCTGGCTGGTACAGTGTTCACTGCTGGCTGTACAGTTTCATTCCTGCTGGCTGGTACAGTGTTCAGTCACTGCTGGCTGGTACAGTGTTCAGTCACTGCTGGCTGGTACAGTGTTCAGCTACTGCTGGCTGGTACAGTGTTCAGTCACTGCTGGCTTGTACAGTGTTCATGTCACTGCTGGCTGGTACAGTGTTAGCTACTGCTGGCTGGTACAGTCTTCAGTCACTGCTGGCTGTTACAGTGTTCAGTCACTGCTGGCTGGTACAGTGTTCATTCACTGCTGGCTGGTACAGTGTTCAGCCACTGCTGGCTGGTACAGTGTTCAGTCACTGCTGGCTGGTACAGTGTTCAGCCACTGCTGGCTGGTACAGTGTTCAGTCACTGCTGGCTGGTACAGTGTTCATTCACTGCTGGCTGGTACATGTTCATCACTGCTGGCTGTACAGTGTTCAGTCCACTGCTGGCTGGTACAGTGTTCAGTCACTGCTGCTGGTACAGTGTTCAGCCACTGCTGGCTGGTACAGTGTTCAGCCACTGCTGGCTGGTACAGTGTTCAGTCACTGCTGGCTGGTACAGTGTTCAGTCACTGCTGGCTGGTACAGTGTTCAGCCACTGCTGGCTGGTACAGTGTTCAGTCACTGCTGGCTGGTGCAGTCTTCAGTCACTGCTGGCTGGTACAGTGTTCAGTCACTGCTGGCTGGTACAGTGTTCAGTCACTCCTGGCTGGTACAGTGTTCAGCCACTGCTGGCTGGTACAGTGTTCAGTCACTGCTGGCTGGTACAGTATTCATTCACTGCTGGCTGGTACAGTGTTCAGCCACTGCTGGCTGGTACAGTGTTCAGCTACTGCTGGCTGGTACAGTGTTCAGTCACTGCTGGCTGGTACAGTGTTCATTCACTGCTGGCTGGTACAGTGTTCAGTCACTGCTGGCTGGTACAGTGTTCATCCACTGCTGGCTGGTACAGTGTTCAGTCACTGCTGGCTGGTACAGTGTTCATTCACTGCTGGCTGGTACAGTGTTCAGCCACTGCTGGCTGGTACAGTGTTCAGCTACTGCTGGCTGGTACAGTGTTCATTCACTGCTGGCTGGTACAGTGTTCAGCCACTGCTGGCTGGTACAGTGTTCAGTCACTTACTGTACTTTATTCCAGACAAGTGGACTGAACACATCAACTCCAGGCTGAGGGATTGATTACCTCTAACTCCTCATCTTCCACCGTTCTTCTCTGTATTGGACTGACGAAGCCACTGGCTGGCGACACGTTGCCACAATAAAGATACCCAAGTGTTGCTCTAGTGACTCACGTATCAACTGTCCGGTTCTCTAAACCATTTATTTAATAATTATCGATTCTATCGGTAATGTGGTTTCAGTTATCTTACTGCCAAGAACATTTAAGAAACGAGGCACGTTTCGGCTGAACCTTTTTCTATCAGGACAAGGTTTCGCTCAGCGTAGAGGTTTACAGTCACGATAGAGCTCTGCATAACGAAAATTTGTCGCTATAAAGCCTCCCCCAAAACGTGAGTCCTTTTTTATTTCACTATCGTCAGAAATATTTGTTCTGAAATCAAACATTTTATTGGAGGCAATGCGGCGTGTGCAGCATTACCGTGAAACTTTCCTGTGGTAAATATGACAGCTAGAGATAATGTAAATGTGTTTATCCAAACCTTACTCTTAACTTCTCGTTGAACCGGCAAGTGTGTTGAGAGCCTCGTTAAACACCTGCCTTATTGTGGGGATGCAGGTGCTCTGCAAGTGTTGTGGTGGTGATGCGATACATATGTTGTGCTGGAGGTCGCATGGAAGTGGTGGAGGTCACATGTTGTGGTAGTGGTCTGTTATGCTGGCGCACGGCAGCAGTGGTCACTGGGGTTTACATGTGTTGCATTAAGCAGTCTGAGTGAAATGATAGCTTGTCTTTGTGTTGTGAGCAGTTGTTAGCATTGGTTCTTGTGTTGTGAGCAGCAGTTGTCATCATTCGCCCTTGTGTTGTGTGCAGTTGTTAGTAAACGTCAGTGTGCGTGAGACAGAGATCACTGTCCACAGCTGCTGAGGGATTGGAAACCTTTAATCACCCCTCCCCCCTTTCCTTTTCCTTCTCACCCTTAACCTTTACTCCCTCGCCCCCTCTCCCAGCCTTACTGTAATACCAGTTTGCATATCTTGGTGTAATCTCAAATGGACTTACATCTATACGATCTTTTTATGCAAATAGAGCAGCGGTTGGAGGAACAGTGTGCTTGTAATACTTACTGCTGGCCTATTTTTACTTCTGGTTTGTATGTAAAGGGGAGATGAAGCCCCTATCCCTTCCCTTCCATCCCTCCCCCCATCTCCAGAATAAAAAATTCAGGACGTTGATGGCAGCAGGTGGCCTGACCACTACACGGCTGCAGCAGCCTGGGGTCCTTCACATAAAGACCATGATGGCAGCAGGTCTTCTGACCACTACAGAGTTGCAGCAGCTTGGGGTCCTTCACATAAAGACCATGATGGCAGCAGGTCTTCTGACCACTACAGAGTTGCAGCAGCTTGGGGTCCTTCACATAAAGACCATGATGGCAGCAGGTCTTCTGACCACTACAGAGTTGCAGCAGCTTGGGGTCCTTCACATAAAGACCATGATGGCAGCAGGTCTTCTGACCACTACAGAGTTGCAGCAGCCTGAGCTCCTTCACGTAAAGGAAGACAATATACACGTACGAGACTCACGAAATCGTAATGACACGATGGCAAACAAACCATACCACGGGTGGGGTTTGATCCCGCGGTTTTGAGACTCTCTGACCGCGGGATCAAACCCCACCCGTGGTATGGTTTACACATACGAGGTGGTACTTGATAAATAGATGTTTCTTAACTAGGGTATGTCTGTGAGTGGTGGCTTGCTGGTACTCTTGGTGGCTTGCTGGTACTCCCAAGTGTGAGTGGTGGCTTGCTGGTACTCTTGGTGGCTTGCTGGTACTCCCAAGTGTGAGTGGTGGCTTGCAGGGGGGGGGGGGTCATTACATTGCTCTTTTGCTCTTGTTCTGGCTTCTTAAGCTGGCTTTGTTATGCCAGATTCTAACACCTCAACCTCCGTCGTACCCACTCTTAAAGCTGTGAAGTGAGGGAAATCTCCTCCACGTCCTCCTCTAACTCATTCCACTTTCCTTTCACCTCCGGGAATAGAGAAATTGTATATAACTCAATTACACCTCCTCTGTACCTCTTTATAATTACGTTCTGTATCTCTCTCCAGCCCTTGGAAGATGTGTGTGTGTGTGTGTGTGTGTGTGTGTGTGTGTGTGTGTGTGTGTGTGGTGTGTGTGTGTGTGTGTGTGTGTGTGTTTGTGTGTGTGTGTGTACTCACCTAGTTGAGGTTGCGGGGGTCGAGTCCGAGCTTCTGGCCCCGCCTCTTCACTGATCGCTACTAGGTCACTCTCCCTGAGCCGTGAGCTTTATCATACCTCTGCTTAAAGCTATGTATGGATCCTGCCTCCACTACATCGCTTCCCAAACTATTCCACTTACTGACTACTCTGTGGCTGAAGAAATACTTCCTAACATCCCTGTGATTCATCTGTGTCTTCAGCTTCCAACTGTGTCCCCTTGTTACTGTGTCCAATCTATGGAACATCCTGTCTTTGTCCACCTTGTCAATTCCTCTCAGTATTTTGTATGTCGTTATCATGTCCCCCTATCTCTCCTGTCCTCCAGTGTCGTCAGGTTGATTTCCCTTAACCTCTCCTCGTAGGACATACCTCTTAGCTCTGGGACTAGTCTTGTTGCAAACCTTTGCACTTTCTCTAGTTTCTTCACGTGCTTGGCTAGGTGTGGGTTCCAAACTGGTGCCGCATACTCCAATATGGGCCTAACGTACACGGTGTACAGGGTCCTGAACGATTCCTTATTAAGATGTCGGAATGCTGTTCTGAGTTTGCTAGGCGCCCATATGCTGCAGCAGTTATTTGGTTGATGTGCGCTTCAGGAGATGTGCCTGGTGTTATACTCACCCCAAGATCTTTTTGCTTGAGTGAGGTTTGTAGTCTCTGGCCCCCTAGACTGTACTCCGTCTGCGGTCTTCTTTGCCCTTCCCCAATCTTCATGACTTTGCACTTGGTGGGATTGAACTCCAGGAGCCAATTGCTGTCCAGATCCCTTTGTAGTTCTGCCTGGTCTTCGATCGAGTGAATTCTTCTCATCAACTTCACTTCATCTGCAAACAGGGACACCTCAGAGTCTATTCCTTCCGTCATGTCGTTCACAAATACCAGAAACAGCACTGGTCCTAGGACTGACCCCTGTGGGACCCCGCTGGTCACAGGTGCCCACTCTGACACCTCGCCACGTACCATGACTCGCCGCTGTCTTCCTGACAAATATTCCCTGATCCATTGTAGTGCCTTCCCTGTTATCCCTGCTTGGTCCTCCAGTTTTTGCACCAATCTCTTGTGTGTGTGTGTGTGTGTGTGTGTGTGTGTGTGTGTGTGTGTGTGTGTGTGTGTGTGTGTGTGTGTGTGTGTGTGTGTGTGAGTGTGTGCGTGTGTTCACGCGAGTCTTGCATTAAACACGTATATTTACTCGCCTTTAATTACAAGGGTGATTAAAAACAACTGTGCCTGCTAATATAAACAGTTTACGACGGTAATTACTGCCATGGACTCATCGACTGGTCAGTCGTATTGCCCCGTCACGTTCTGTTGCACCGTCATGTTGTAGTGCCCCGTCACATTCTGTTGCCTCGTAATGTTCTATTGCCCCGTCACGTTGTATTGCCCCGTCACGTTCTTTTTCCCCATCACGGTCTATGGCTCCGTCACGTTCTATTGTCCCTTTACGTTGTATTAATGCCTCGCCGTGACCTTGTCATAGGGTTACCCCTGTCACAGGGCTGTAAACGGTACCACACTTGTACAAACTCCGACACTCCTTCGGGAGCCACTGCCGGGTCACCACATGGAGAAGACCCGGGCCAGGACCTGTCCTGGTGATACCTTTTGCCGGGTCACCACATGGAGAAGACCCGGGCCATGACCTGTCCTGGTGATACCTTTTGCCGGGTCACCAAACAGAGAAGACGCGGGCCAGGACCTGTCCTAGTGACACCTTTTGCCGGGTCACCAAATAGAGAAGACCCGGGCCAGGACCTGTCCTGGTGATACCTTTTGCAGGGTCACCACATGGAGAAGACCCGGGCCAGGACCTGTCCTGGTGTCACCTTTTGCAGGGTCACCACATGGAGAAGACCCGGGCCAGGACCTGTCCTGGTGACACCTTTTGCAGGATCACCACATGGAGAGGACCCGGGAAAAGACCCGTCCTGGTGACACCTTTTGCAGGGTCACCACATGGAGAAGACCCGGGCCAGGACCTGTCCTGGTGACACCTTTTGCAGGATCACCACATGGAGAAGACCCGGGAAAAGACCCGTCCTGGTGACACCTTTTGTAGGGTCACCATACGGAGAAGACCCGGGCCAGGACCTGTCCTGGTGTCACCTTTTGCAGGGTCACCACATGGAGAAGACCCGGGCCAGGACCTGTCCTGGTGACACCTTTTGCAGGGTCACCACATGGAGAAGACCCGGGAAAGGACCCGTCCTGGTGACACCTTTTGCAGGATCACCACATGGAGAAGACCCGGGCCAGGACCTGTCCTGGTGACACCTTTTGCAGGGTCACCACATGGAGAAGACCCTGGCCAGGACCTGTCCTGGTGACACCTCTTGCCGGGTCACCACATGGAGAAGGCCCGGGCCAGGACCTGTCCTGGCAAACCTGCCTAAACATGGACCTGCTGTATTAATCCGTCACGTTGTATACACACACACAGGAAGGATGTTAGGAAGTATTTCTTCAGCCACAGAGTAGTCAGTAAGTGGAATAGTTTGGGAAGTGATGTAGTGGAAGCAGGATCCATACATAGCTTTAAGCAGAGGTATGATAAAGCTCACGGCTCAGGGAGAGTGACCTAGTAGCGATCAGTGAAGAGGCGGGGCCAGGAGCTCGGACTCGACCCCCGCAACCTCAACTAGGTGAGTACAACTAGGTGAGTACACACACACACACACACACACACACACACACACACACACACACAACACACACACACACACAGACACACACACACACACACACACACGCACGAACACACACACACACACACACACACACACACACACACACACACACACACACACACACACACACGAACACACATACACACACACACACACACACACACACACACACACACACATGGCCAAAGACTGCAAACCTCACTCAAGGAAAAAGATCTGGGGGTGAGTATAACACCGATCATATCTCCTGAGGCGCACATCAATCAGATAACTGCTGCAGCATACGGGCGCCTGGCAAACCTACGGATAGCGTTCCGATACCTCAGTAAGGAGTCGTTCAAGACCCTGTATACCATTTACGTCAGGCCCATACTGGAGTATGCAGCACCAGTTTGGAATCCACACCTAGTCAAGCACGTCAAGAAATTAGAGAAAGTGCAAAGGTTTGCAACAAGACTAGTCCCAGAGCTACGGGGATTGTCCTACGAAGAAAGGTTGAGGGAAATCGGCCTGACGACACTGGAGGCCAGGAGGGTCAGGGGAGACATGATAACGACATATAAAATACTGCGCAGAATAGACAAGGTGGACAAAGACAGGATGTTCCAGAGATGGGACACAGACACAAGAGGTCACAATTGGAAGTTGAAGACTCAGATGAATCGAAGGGATGTTAGGAAGTATTTCTTCAGTCATAGAGTAGTCAAGTCATGGAATAGTCTAGAAAGTGAAGTAGTGGAGGCGGGAACCATACATAGTTTTAAGGCGAGGTATGATAAAGCTCATGTAGCAGGGAGAGAGAGGACCTAGTAGCAATCAGTGAAGAGGCGGGGCCAGGAGCTATGACTCGACCCCTGCAACCACAAATAGGTGAGTACAAATAGGTGAGTACACACACACACACACACACACACACACACACACACACAGAACTTGGACCCACATGGGGGCCAAGATACATGGAGGGCTAAGATGATGGAGGTGGTACTGGAAAACTTCATGTGCCAACACGTAAGGGACACTACAAGAGAGAGAGGAGAGGATGAACCAGCAAGGCTGGACTTAGTATTCACCTTGAGTAGTGCAGATATCGAGGACATCACATATGAAAGACCCCTTGGGGCCAGTGACCATGTGGTTTTAAGCTTCGAATACACAGTAGAGCTACAAGTGGACGGAGAAGCAGGAAGGCCAGGACGAATGAGCCAAACTACAAGAAAGGGACTACACAGGAATGAGGAACTACCTGAACGGGGTTCAGTGGGACAGAGAACTGGCAGGGAAGCCAGTTAATGAGATGATGGAATATGTAGCAACAAAATGCAAGGAGGCTGAGGAGAGGTTGTACCCAAGGGTAACAGGATTAATGAAAAAGCCAGGATGAGCCCATGGTTTACCCAAAGGTGCAGGGAGCAAAAAACCAAGTGTGCTAGGGAATGGAAGAAATATAGAAGCAAAGGACCCAGGAGAATAAGGAGAACAGTCGTAGAGCCAGAAACGAATATGCACAGATAAGAAGGGAGGCCCAAAGACAATATGAAAATGACATAGCAGCGAAAGCCAAATCTGACCCGAAACTGTTGTACAGCCACATCAGGAGGAAAACAACAGTCAAGGACCAGTAATCAGGCTAAGGAA